CAAAGAGACGCAAAGAGACGCAAAGTGAATAAGTTAAGTGCGAGGGGTCCTTTACCTGTCTGTGCCGTGAGGCCAGTTTTCACATAATCCCTGAACACACTGCACACACAGTGTTCATGCACAGTAACTGGACTCAGCTCAGGGGACAAGAAGAAGAAACAAGAAGAAACAAGAGGAAGAAAAAGGCAGACTGCTTCAGTGATGAAGCACAAACATGTGACGTTTTTTAATGCATGAGATAAAAACTGCACGAGTCGCTCAGTGGCTGCTGTTATAGCGTTCGACCATCTCCTTATCAGCTCTGAGTTGGTTTATTGCCCGGCAGCATTTGGCAGATGATAATAGGTGGAGGTTCTGAGATGCGGCTGAAAGCTTTTCTCTCCTTGTAACTCGATCTTATCCTTCGAACAAATCTAGCAGGATGAGAAACAGTGATAGAGGACGGATGTGTCAGATGCAGCCTCCACTCTCGTATTTAAGACGATTATGAGTTCATGCAGCAGAAACTGAGCCATGAATCAAACTGTCTTCATTCACCTCAGAGCCTCTCGTTTTCTCATATGTTGTTAATGTCACAAATCAGACACTGGTATTTAATCTGTCATCATCATATCTCATGTTGAGCTGGTGAGAGAGACGCCTCCAAAACAAACACGTGATAAGAATACATCTGTTCATTACTTTGGGGAACCAGTTAATAATAAATCTATGCACCAACAATTAACTGATCTCATGTTAACCTCAAGACCAGGTCACAACTTCTTAATATCTGCAGCTCGTTAATAATTCTGCTAAGTTAAGTTACTCATACAGAATGAGATTGGATTCAGCACAAATAAGTTGACTGGAAAAATTCCTTTAAGAGCGTGCATTCCGTTGAGAGAGGAACAGATGATTTACTACCAGCATCGACCTGCCGGGCTCACCGCCAGATGTTGTTCTGTCTCCCACAGCAGCTCACGAGACTCTGAGGAGCCTCTGGACAGAAAGAGCAACAGTGACCGGTGGAGCCGTCCGTCGCCCACCTCCATCTTTCACCCAGAGCTCCTCTCCACAACAGCTCTGCAGGAAAAGACTCCTGCACACACTCCGGCTCCAACCTCAGAGACTCAAACAGCCGCTGAGCAGCAGCAACAACCAGCGGAGTCCACGTCCAGGTCCGAAGCTGTGGGTGAAACCAGGAGCAGCACCAGAGGCCCCACCCTGAAGCCTCCACAGTTCACTGAGCCTCCCTTCATCGGGGACACCTACATGGGCGAAGACGTCCCTCCACAGAATGTGAGTTCTCCTAATGTCAGAAAGTTTCTGTAGAATAATTAGAATGATGCTGTCAGAGGGCGGCGGCCTCAGTCCACTGGGTGGGTCTGCTCTTCAGTAAATGTTTAATAGATGATGGGGTCATGTCTCTGACGGTGTTTCTCCATCACCTCTCCGCTGCCTAAGTGTGTGTCATGCAGTCTGAGAAAGTCTCCTGAGAGCGGTGTTAATGAAACGATGACTCCATGTGGTGAATCACGCAGGATTCTCATCGCGCTCACGCTGAGGTTCTGGTGGAGACAGATTTTTATACTTTTTAATATATTGTAGTTTATTTTGTACGGGGCCAGAGTCCTCACGAGTTCACATGTGCTTGTATAATGTTGATTAAACACGGTCTCTTCTGTTTAGCTTGTTCTCTCCATTGTAGAATACTGTTCACATTTGACTTGTTTCTTGTGTAGTTTAGGTTTTAAGGAGACGCTGCACAGAACAATATTAATAATTGATTCTCCAGAGAACCAGATAAACACGATCAAAGAGATCAGATTTGAAGTTGCACTCTTCGTCCCCCTGCTCGTGGTTTTATCTTTCATTGTTTCCATATAAATCTATATATGCTTTGATTCCTTCTTTCTCTGGATCAAATCCCCACTTTCCATCGTGTCGTCAGCCATGTTCTTCTTCAGACGTGTACCTACTGGATAGTCTTCTTCCAGTGAGAGTCTGGAGGTTTGATACTGAGGATGCACAACCTCCTCCTCAGTGGAACTAACGATGCTTGTGCCCTGATCATGTGGAGCGAACACTAACTGAAGTTGTACAGTTTGGAGATAAGGTTGTTTGCATATGTTTGCACTTTGATAACAACGTGCTGGTGTGATCTGCTCCTCACAGAACTGCACTGACGGCGTTAGAAGTCGAGTTGCTCAGACAGAGTTTGGTGGACGGTTTCTGAGGAGGATTCCGGTTCTGCAGTGGGCCGATCACCTGAGCCGAGAGCAGTACCAGCGTCTGAGTCAGTACCCAGGAGCTCATGGCTGGGGGGGGATCGACTACAACTGTGAGTTTGGTCTTTGATTCCTGGATCTGGACAGAAAATATGAATATTTGTTCAGTTTGTGTGTTTATTCTTTTGAGAAAAGTCTTAAATGTGGATCTCATGATGCTTTCATTCACTTTTCACTGAATCAAATGTAGAATCTCACAAGAAAATACAAAGTGTATCCACCAAAGTGTTTCAGAGATTGTGTTGATGTGGACGTTGATGATGGAGGAGAATAAACAGCAGATATGAAATAACTGTGAACACATATAACACAAATCAATCATACTCACATTCTTGTGTGGACAGTGAAGCTTCTCCAAAGCCGACGCTGTTTTCTTCATGTCGTGTTTTCTAAAAGTAACGTTTTACATATTTATATAAATCCAGACAGAAGATGCAAAGTGTTGTGGGTAATGTCTGAGGAGACGTGGGCCTCATCACACATTGTGCTGAGACAGTGTGTGTGTGTGTGTGTGTGTGTGTGTGTGTGTGTGTG